AACCTATCAGATGCAAACACACACATTTCCGAAAGTGGATTCTGCCGCCTCTTTTCAGCCTATATATCTCTTGGTATCGTCAACCGCCTCACGTAAAAGGCGTTCTTTTCTCCCTGAGACTTCACTGTATAATCATCTGCTTTTAGCATCTCTGAGTATCTCACGTAGCGCCTAAAATGACAAGCATAGCTTCTTTGTGCACACTTCAGTTTCTCTAGTTAGTTGTCTGTGAGACAACGTGAGCAATCAGAGACCATAATTCATACATGAAATAATTAGCTGCTGGTGTAATATCTTCTTCTTCTTCTCCTTGTGTTCGCTTTTTGATTTACATAGACAGACAGGTTCTTGTGATAAACTTGACTGTTTTTATGAGTTCCTTTTTAGTCCCATACAACTTTGTGTGCAGTGGTGACTCTCTGGGCCAGTATTCTCTTCTTAATGGGATGAACAAGGGACAGTCTTGCAGGACATGTTCTGTAGTCTGCACACATAGCCCACAAGGACACACGGGTGAACTACTTAGACGAAGCCTGTGCATATGCTGGTTAAGTTTGTTATGTCCTGTCCTGAGACAGGACATTATCTCTGGCCAGACTCTGTTCACTTCTAATAGTCTGGATGGCCCTTTTCTTCTCATAGTGTGTTACTGCATTCTCTTCCTGGTCACATTCTACCCCTTTGTTAGCAAGTTTATCTGCGGTTTCGTTGATGGCACCCACTGGAGTACAGTACACTTTTGGGCAGCCACCTTGCCAAGTTAAGATCTTAGGTGAGGGAGTTTGCCACTCTTGAGGGCTTGAAGCATTGATAGCGCATCTGTGAATATGACCAGTTGGTGGCAGTCAGAACTGGTGTTGTGTAACATTTCGGCAGCCTGCTCTAGTGCTACGATCTCTGCTGTGTCGTTGGAACAGAATTTACCAGTGGGTATCCACTTTGTGGCGGTGGTTGCCTGGGTCTGTAATAAAGATTTCAGCACCCCCATTTTTAACCGCACTGGTTGCTGATTTATCTGTGTAAACATGTATCCGTGACAGTTCGGGATAGTTTTCGTGAATCATGCCAAGAGCAGCTGTTCGTTTTTGAAGATCATTTGACTCATCTCCAGTTGTGAATCCATTGACTGAAGTCATTATCTGTATTGTATCACTGACTTGCTCCCAAAGTACAGGGTATAGGGTAGGTTTCAGCGGTGTTGTTCTAATAGGTATATCAGCTTGATACTGTCTTCTAAGTCTTTTTCCCCGATGGACAAAGGTGCTACGTTTGAGACGCCCTAATGCCAGATCATTTAACCTTTTATTCATCGGGTATGACTGCATACTATTAAACTTCTCCATCTGGATCATAGTTTTAGTGTCTCTTCTATGGGACAATGTTTGCATTGCAGTTATTTTCTGCATCTCCAGGATTGGTGCAGTTTTCATGGATCCTGTGATGAGTCTAAGGGCTTGATTTTGCACTTTGTCTAACGATTGTAGATGGGAATTAGCAGCTGTTGACCATGCTGTTGCACCAAACTCCAAGTAGGGTCTTATCGCTCCATTATAAACTTTCTTTGGGGTTTTTTCCATTCGCTCCCCATCCTGTACCTGCCAGTTTTCTAAGTAGGCCTAGTCTCCATCTTTCTTCTGCAATGATGTTCCTATGTGAATACTAGCAGCTTTGTCCCTGAGGGAAAGAGAGAAAAGTCTGTGTTGATGGCAACATTTTTTCTGCCCATGTCATAAGAGATCTGCTGCTCAAGACTGACTCTAGTTCTCCTGCTGTGTAAGAAGGATTGGATCCATTTTAGCATGTTTCCTAGGATTCAATTTCTCTTCAGTTTTGCAATGAGACCATCTTTCCAGACTTTGTCAAAAGCTTGTTTGAGGTCAACCCATACCGCCAGGACCTTTTTCTTCTCTTGGAAGGCATCCTCTACAGCTTGTGACATGTAGGTGACTTGGTCTTCTATGCTGTGACTTTCCGTAAATCCAGCCTGCTCTGGCACCAAGATCTGCTGCTCAGATTCTAAGTGCCATTTCAGTCTTGAATTTACAATTCTTTCCAATTTCTTTCCTACACGGCTTGTGAGACTAACTGGGCGATAGCTGGAAGCCTGGGTCTTAATATTTCCTTTTTTTAAATGGGTAGTGTGATGGCTTCTCTCCATACTTGAGGCACTAAACCTTTCTCCCAGCTGATGTTGAAAATTTCCAGCAGCTTTACTTTAGCAGATGAGCTCAGGTTGATTAGCATTTCGTTGCTGATTTCATCTAGACCTGCAGACTTTTTTAACTTAAGCCTGGAGATGGCATTTTGTAGTTCACCCATTGTGGCAGGAGTATCTGTCTGTCTCTTATTTGTTTGTATTTCTTTCCTTTTTTCTCTCTGATGGTCCTCATTAACGGTCAGGTAGCTTTCAACACTGTATGCTCTGGCAAACAAATCTGCAGTTAGTTTTCCTCTGAAGATTTTGTCACCATCACTTAGTGTGCTTGTTTGTCCAGGAGAGAAACTCTCTTCATTGAGTGATTTGGCTAATCTCCAGAGTTTCTTGCCATCTTTATCAAGGTTTAGAGCTGCTGTTTTATTTCTCCAGCTTTTCCGTTTTTCTTCAAGTTTAGTTCTCTGGAACACTGCTACAGCCTTTTTCGATTTGGTGTGGTTGTCAGGTGAAGGTTGAGATTCTGCATCCTTTCTAGCCTGATTCATTGTTTCCTGACATTCCTGGAGTGTGCTGGACCAGTACCGTCTATAGTTGTGTCGACCACCTCTAGGGATTGCTTCTTTTGCAGCTTGAAGAATACTTCTATTGAAATCGTGCACTATAGCATTGATATCCCTATTTTGTACCTTGAGAGCAGACAACAATGTGCTTGTCCTGTGTCTGTATAGGCCCCAGTTGGCTTTTTTTTAAGTTCCATCTTGTGATGACTGGGCCTGTATTAACTGATACATTCTGGACAGTAAGAAAAATCGGGCGATGGTCACTGCCCCCCAGCTGCTCTCCCACCTCTTACTTATCATTCCAGATATATATGGGGTAGAGAAGGCAAGATCTGGGGTTGACGTTGTCTGCCACCTTCTGGAGTAGAAGGTAGGAGTATCTGAGAGGGCATTGATCAGGACGATAGAGTGGTCATCTTGCCATGTTTCCACCTCTTCACCCCTATTGTCGAGATAGTTATAGCCCCAGCTCTGTGAATGACTGTTGAAGTCTCCAACTGCAATAAAGTTGGTATCTGGTACTGACACAGAGCTGAGGCTTAACGATTTGTCATTGGGACAGTAGTAGTTGAGGAGGTCTTATTCCACTTTGTCTGTCTTGAGCTGCAGGAGTTGGTACTTAGCTCCTTCCATATAAGATATTTTCTCGCATGGGTGGATACTATTTGTTACAAGGGTAAGTACTCCTTGAATCGAAACACCAAGAGGCAGGGGAAGATCAAGAAGAAGATGGATTGAAGGAGTCACGGACAACTTGAGACTTCATAACATCACGGCATATGAAGCGACTGAGCGCGCCCTGGCTCGGTTGCCGATCATCTGATAGACTGCGACACCTAGCGGCACAAAAGAAGAAAGAAAGAAGAAGTACTCCTCCTTTCTGCCTGCCTTATCTATCAGATCTGAAGCACTGGTAGCCTCTCACTTTAAATATCTGATCTGCCTGCAAATGAATCTCTTGGATGCAGCATACACTGGCATGCATTTCATAGAGGATGTTTTCTAGCTCCATCTTTTTGCTGTAGCCAGCCTGCTTACTGCTGACCCCCGCTTCATTCCAGTGCATTATGACAAAAGGCAATTTGGGATCTTTTCTGTCTAACTGGTTTTGGTCAGTAGCTATCCTATGCCGTCTCCTTACTCCACAAGACGGTCTAGGAGGTCCTCCAGCAGCTGGGGGCGGATTCTGTCGAGGCTCAAAACCCGGCACTGCACCTGCCTGGTGGAGCTTCACAGGGCGAGCACCAACATTAAATTTGTCTGACGGTGTAATCATATATATAGCGTGGGGTTGCGTAGTACTGTGGTTTTTGATCCGCCTTCTGGCCCAGTATTTCTGACTTCAGGATCTCTGAAGAGGGAAAGTAGGCTCATCCCTTCGCCTTTACCTCGTTTGTTGTCCCATCCAGTTTCCCACTGGGGGTTGAGATCCCAACCTTCAACTGGATTGCTGGGAAGAACAGGGTCCACCACGTGAAGGTGAGGTAGGCTTGAGAAATAGAGGCTAATAGACATTAAGAGTCTTGTATTGCGCATCATTGCTCCATTAGGACCCCTGCTGTTGTAATATGTGCATCAATGTCTGTTTCATATCTGCTAATGCCATAACCTCTGCATCATTGTAGTTATTTCCTGATCTTTAACATAACCCCACCATTATTATTCGTTATCTCATTGTGAGATAAAAAAATTTCTCTATTTTGAAGACCCACCATGACTCTTGTCTGGGGCCGCAATATAGCCCGGCCCTAAATTTGGTCGAATGGCTGAACGCTGTTTCCAGGATCCTCGTCCAAATGATGGCACTTTGTGCTATTGGGTGTTTATTACTTGTGTGATGTCCTAGTGGGGTAAAATGTACTGCTACTACTACTACAACTTAACCCCCCCCCCCCCACACACACACACTCTACTTAAAAGCCTGTCAAGTTATTCTACGATATTTAAGTGTATTCTGTTTTTTTTTAATCTGAATTTTATTTGTGTGTGCGTGTGTGTGTGAAATGTACCAGACATCATCGCTAACAACTGTTTTATTTAGGGGTCACCCCATACTACTAGTTTAATTGAGATGATAAAGGGCTATTTTACCACAAAACTCACCCACCTTATTCATCACGAAATGTACTTCTTTGATTATGTATTCCTAACCCCACCCCCACCCCCGGTCAATCCTTTGTCTGTAAGGGAAAAATCGTGGATCTGGGCTTAAACAAACCTTTATTTCACAGTTTTTTTATTTTAAACGTTTTCAAATAACACTACTTTCTAATTTCATTTACCAGTTTGTATTCACTCCAAGCAAATACATTGCGAGGTGTGGTATTCAGCTGAGCTTGGTGTTCTCATGGATTCCAGTACCTGGGGAATGGAAAAACCAAAGAAGTCCAGTCGACCCAATCAAGTAAATTTTTTGCATTATACATGTACCGTTGGTTCGTTTGTTCATTCATTCATTCATTCATTCATTCATTCATTCATTCATTCATTCATTCATTCATTCATTCATTCATTCATTCATTCATTCATTCACCAGCAAAGTCTGGTGCTGAATCACCTGCCGTTTGTCAGATGTAAAACTACGAGCTATAGATTTTGTGTCAAATGTCTATCTACTTAGCTTGCAGTTGTTGTTGTGTGAACTGTATATTTAGAATTCAGTGACAGATAAGTGTACGTCGAGGTAGGTACTGTGCCTTACGCTGTAGTGCCAATGCGTTTGCTAGTCTGTTTTAATTTCTGCTTCCGTGAACTGCATGCAGTTCTAGTTGCTTATTACTCATCCCCCAAAAAATGTGCTAAGGTCAGGGGGTGCCTAGTTCCCTCCCTACTGTCATGACAATTATTTTTTTCACACTGTAGAACTCTAAGCTTATGGGATATAGATCGCTAGTTTATGTTTCCAACATTACTCCGACGTTTAACAATTGCATGTTTAAGGCTAACTGTTACTACGTACAACCGTAATCTACAGTCTGTTCAGAAATTCATTAACATATTTGAAATGTATCGTCTCGAAAAGTGCCGGTTAGATTGCAATGTTTTTTTTTTTTTGAAAGGCCGCCTTTGAATATTCATAACGCAAACAAAGTTCTATGTTTTAGTCCAGAGATGTTACTGATTTTGCTAATCATTAAATGTCTTTGATCTGTTTGAACCATTGTAAATAAGTAGAGTAAAATTTCAAATTTCACAGTAAAGACGTTAATTTAAAGATCTTTTTTTTTCCAGAGGCGTATCTTCATAACATATAAGGCTCTATCCAGAATAAGAGACAGTTTTATTAGGGATGCTAGTGAAGTTTTATGTTTTGAGTTTTTACTTACGAAACCATGACAGCTAGATAGAGAACTGTTTATACTTACTTACTTTTACTTTTACTTTTTCCTTCCACGTATGCCGCTAAGCGTTGTGGGGAGATGCAAGTTCCTGTCGTAAGCAAGGCGGGCAGCATCTGATGTTCTGAGGCCATGCTTTTGGCAGGTTTCGGAGACCCCGTCAATCCACCGTTTCCTTGGTCTTCCTCTTGCCTTATATCCTGAGCTTCTTTGGTTGAAAATTTGTGATGTTATTTGATCATTTTTCATCCTGGTTAGATGTCCAAACCATTTCATTCTTTGATGTTCTATGTAGTCTAAACATGGTGTAGTCTTGACAGTGTTTCTAATGTCTATATTCTTTATCCTGTCTAGTCTGGTCTTATTCGCTGCTTTTCTTAGACATTTCATTTCACAGGCTTCTATTTTCTTTCGTGGGTCTTGTTGATTGTCCATGTCTGGCACTGGTAGCAGAGTGTTGGAATGAAGATGGTGTTTTATCAATTGTCTTTTGGTCTTCATGGTTATATCTGGATGTTTAAGCAGAGGTGATAGTTGGTATGTGACAGCATTTGCTTTCTGTATTCTTGTTTCTATCTCTCTGTCCATTCTTCCATCCTCTGTAAATATACTGCCCAAGTATTTGAACTCTTTGGTTTGCTTGATTTTGGCACTTCCAACATTTATATTCAGTAGCCTGTGTGTTCTGCTGATCTTCATAACTTCTGTTTTTTCTGTACTGATTCTCATATTATGTTGTAAACAGCTGTTGTTGAGAGTAGTCAGATGTTCCTGTAGATCATATTCATTTTGATACAGTATGCTTTGATCATCAGCAAAAAGTAATTCGTTTATAGCATACACGTCTGGGTTTGCTTCTACAGTGATCTTATCCATGTATGTTATGAAAAGTAATGGTGACAGTACACATCCTTGTCTGACACCAGTTGTGACTTTGAACCATTCAGAAAGACCACTAGATGTTCTTACTGCACTTTCACTTTTTTTTTTTATTGCTACGAAAATTAGAAAGGAGATAAATAAACGGATAGCCCCAAACGGAAAATGGACTGGAAACGTTAAAGGACGACGAGACAGAAAAACGACTTACATAGGCACATGGAACATATGTGGTATTGCCAACAAAGAGCCACAAATAGTGGATTTCATGAAAAGAAAAAATATACACGTCATGGGTCTTGCGGATACAAGAAAGAAAGGATATAATACAAAAGAACTGTTTATGTATGTCTCAAATACATACAATACAATATGCGCCTATTTAACATTTGAAAATGTCCGCAGGCTGATTATTTTTCATAAAAAAAATTATACATTTACAGTTGTCTGCCAACGAGCAGCGAAATGGAACGAATTCTGCAAGAGCGTTTGCTCCGAGGGATCTCTTGTGACATTCTGGCGCCTTCAACGGAGCATGCACGGTGCCGCTCGACCCAGGGGTATACCTGATTTTCAGGGTACAGACCTGATATGGCAGAGAACTGATGCTGATAAAGGAAAAACCCTTCTGGCGCGCTACTTGGAGCAAACTGACCAAAAAGACGAAGCTACAAGAATAGGGGTTAAGATGAAACTGTTGATGCTGTGCGAGAACACTGTGCTAGGCACTGATCTCACAATCACTGCAGATACCTTAAGAACTTGCCTCAAGAAATCGCGCAGCACTGCTCCAGGCCCTGACGGCATCCGATACAACGACATGCTGATGATGTCGAATACTGATTTGAAAAGCGTGGCAAAGGAATTCAATATCAGCATCCAGAGTGGCCAGATACAAGAGGAATGGCTCCATAGTTATTTGTTCCCACTACCAAAGCCTAATAAAGACCACTCAAAGATCTGCGGCTACAGAATCATCTCGATGCAGAATACTGTTGGCAAACTTTTGGAAAAAATTGTCGCACAAAGATTGACCACCTACTTGGAACTACATGATAAGTTGCCACCAACACTTGGAGGGTACAGGTTAAATAAAGAGACATGGTTCAATGCTGCAGTTTTCGCCTACGATGTGTACGAGGGATTTCAGATTAAAGAAGAGACATGTGCGGCAGTGTTGGATTTAGAAGATGCCTACAATAAAGTACCATATGATTATTTAATGCAATTACTGCTTAAACTAGAAGTTAATCCTATTCTGATCCGCTGGATTGCTGCGGTCCTGTTCCAGAGAAAGATTGTACTAAGATGTGGTAGCTGGTCCTCAGAACCGCAAACGATATGTCCAGGCTTGCCACAGGGATCACCGCTATCACCAGTCTTATTCAACGTTTATACGGTGATGATCACTGAGCAGCAGTTGAATGGAAAGGGAAGGACTTTGTCATTTGCTGATGACATTTTGATTTATCGACGAGGGCGTGATAGACAGGAGATCGCCAGCACTATACACAAAGAACTCGATCGAATTGCCGCCTGGTGTGATGGTTCCAATGCCTATGTCAATCCTTCGAAGGCATCAATGTCATGGTTCTCTTTGAACAATCACATTGTCAAATCGGACTTGCGTGATAGTGTATTGATCAGAACCAATGTTATAGCGTTTCTCGGGGTGAGGTTCGATCGCAGCTTGTCATTCAGGGAACACGTTGACCATGTGATAACAAAGGCACGCAAAGGTCTATCTGCAATGAGGATTATGGCTGCTTCCAATATAGAGCAAAGACTACTAATACTTCTATTCTACGGTCTGGTCCTTTCCCCCATTGAATACGCTCTGGCCATCCTCACTGTCAGGGCTACCCAGATTGAACGACTCGAAAAGGTTCAAAATGAAGCCATGCGAATTATTTTGGGATGTACAAGAGACACATCCTGTGGAGCAATGAGGTATCTACTTGACTTTCCAACAATGAACCAAAGGATCAGGATATGGAGGGCTCGGGCATATCTCAAAATATGTGCTGATAAGAAACACCCACTGCATCAAGCGCTTTTTAGTGAAAAGGGCGACAGACTGAAGAGGGGGAAATCGTGGCTAGGTCGGGCAGAAGATGTTATTAGGCAAATATGCAGCCTAACCGACATCACACCTGGTGCAGAATGGATAACTGTGCCTCAGGCGTTTATTTGTACGTTTTCCTGTATTGTTACACTCAACAGGCGATGTAGAGAAGAGAATCCTGTTGCTGTTAATGCAGAGGTCAACGCTCTCATCGGTGAAAATTCAGACGAAGCAGATGCAATAATCTATACAGACGGATCTGTTATACGCCAAAGAAGAAGCGCATGGGCATTTACAGCACGCTCAGCGGGCAGAACAGTCAAAGAAGCCAACGGCGCCTTCTCCATGACAACCAGCAGCATGACGATGGAGGTGATGGCAGTGACGCAAGCGCTTGCCTGGCTTGAAACACAAAATACACCCGCGTGTGTATACTCAGTGATTCCATGAGTATGATCCGGAGGGTTCAGGCAGGTTCAGTGCGAAGACAATCGCTTGAATCATTACAGAAGTCCACTGTGCGTGGAGTCACCTTTATTTTTGTTCCAGGACACGCAGGCGTCGATGGAAATGAAAGAGCTGACAGGTTGGCTGGATCCGCTATCACTACCGACGGTCAGCCTATGGATCATGCTGATATTATCAATGCCCTCAGAGAAATGGGAAGGATAGAGGACTTTGGTGGCAGTGAATCAACATCACTCGCCAGAATGGCAGACTTGGGAATTAAGATCGGTACAGCAAAAAACGAGACGCACACCAGACACGCCAGAAGACTTGTTAATCAACATAGAACTGGTACTATTAGCCATCGGACGTTGGGGTTCATACTGAGGGGAGGATCTGAGCACCTATGGACATGTCCGGAGTGCAATGAGGATAACCCAACTAACTAACTAACTAACTAACTAATATTGTGTGTCCTGGCAAGGCGAACATAAAGATCATATAAATGTGCCAATGTCAGTTGACTCGACCTAATTAACATATACCTGACCCTCCCCCCACACCCGCAACAGCGATGTCACCCGGGGTGGTCTCTCCGAACAGTAATGACACCCGGGGTGGTTGCACCCACCCCCCACAATGATGATACCGGAGTGGCCGCACCCCCTTCCTGCTACCTTCTTTCCCCTGTATCTCTCCTCTTCTTTCTTTCTTTTTCCTTTCCTTTCTTTTTACCCATGTCTCAGTGCCGACTTCCTTTTCTTAGTCTCTTTTTTCTTCTTCCTCTCTCCTGCTCCCCCCTCTTTCTCAACTTTCTCTCAATCTTCTACTCCCCCCCCCCCCAACTCTCCATTCTGTATGGTAGAAGAAAACATGAGCCCACTGGTAGTACACGGCATGTTTTCATAATGGGTTAGTGACAGTGTTAACAACAGGGCAAACACAACAGATGTGTTCATTTCTGGGAATCAGGTCAGGTCCGATTTTCTTTTTTTTTCAAAAAATGACTTTTGCTCCCATGTCCACCCAGCATTGAATGTAAGCCCAGTATTGATAAATAGTACATATTTTATAGTTACGAAATGAAACATTTACCCACTTTTATATAAGGATATATATTTTTAAGACAAACAGATCCCACAATCTTAAGCCAAGGTGACGTTTAAAAACCCAGTTCTTGGGTTAAAGCCCAAGTACAGGAAGGCCTGAAGGCCTGAAGGACGGGAACGCGGTCAGCGCTGCTGTTATTTCTCGACTACTTTGATTTACCAATTCCGATAGAAAATTCCGTGGATTCTAAATAATAACAGACGCATAAAAAATGGTACAAGGTTGTAAACGTTTAAAAAGTAGCTCACCAAACATGATTTATTTACTAAGTATCTTAGGTTAATTGCTAAAGAATCATCTTAGAAAATGCGCAATGATGGCCGAAATTAATTATTGGGATTTGGGGGTGATCATAAAAAAAAAATCTCCAAACAGAAATTACGCAGAACTCTAAATAATGACAGATGCATGCAAAAATACTGCAATGGTTGTGAATTTTTAAAAAATGATTAAAAAAGTTAACTAATTTAATAATTATTTTAAGTTAATTATAAAGCGGGACAAACGGTCTCCTAGTGCAAACATATTGGATTTAAGTGGTCACTACACGGAATTTTTTTTCAAATTTATGACAAAAATATCACTTTTTCAATGTGTTCATTTTTGTAATGTTCGGCATTCGTAGAATAGATTACACACAAAATTTGTGTCATTGGTAAACAATTTAGCATTGAAAACAGTGATGCCACTAAACATTTTTTTAAACATTTGCGCTCAGCCAATCCTTGTGAAATTTTCTATACTTATAAGAAAATTAACGCATAAATCAAAAATGCACCACAAACTGTGTTACTCTGGCTAATTAAAAAGATATTTACGAAATTACTTACCATTTCAAAACCATTTCAGATCAAAGCCTAGCATCTCTCCAATAACTCCAAATAATTTTTCACATTTTATCTTTCACGTAAAGAGCACGGAAAAAAATTCCCAATAACGGTTAATTCGGACTGCTTTTTTGGTCGCGGTCGCGTCCCTAGTTACGGATGAAAATGTATAGCAAAATAAACGAAACAAATCGACCTATTGCTATACCTAGTTTTATGTATTTCTCTGAGTCATAAATATCACAAGATAAATGACATAACATATATTGTTAGTGAAAGTGAGGGCAGAGTGAAACTGTAACCTTCTGCATAGGTACACATTTGCACCTCAAGCTTATTACGAAATTGGTTTATATGTGAAGTTTGATAAGCCAACTACATGACATAATAACCAAACATTACATTTTTGGATACACTTAAAATAAACATAGAACTACGTCTTTTTTGCGTTACGTTCAATAACGGTATGACTTTGCACGGGAAAATCGTGAAATTACAGTTTTTCTTTGACCCTGTTCAAGCCTTTATAGTGTGCTCATTAACATTACTTCCTGATACAAATGAAAGTAAACTTTCCAAAACCCTGTCAAGGCAGTTTCATGAATAAAACATGTTTATGGGAAAGAAGAAACAATCTACATTTGATATTCTTCATTAGTAAATCAATATTTCTTTAACGTTATGGACGCCTAGCATATCTGATTTCATTGCAATCGTTTTTTTAATGTCATAAGCATTAAAATCAATTCATGTTCATGAATTTCCGAACAGACTATTGTAAATGATTTTACTGAATGTTAATCTATCACAGAACGCCCGCTCACTCGGGATGTTGCCTTGCTACATACAAACGGAACTTCGAGAGACTTGGCAAGTATGATCCAGGACTTGAAATGTGGGGTTGTGAAAACACTGAACTATCCTTGAGGGTAGTAATGTAGTGTGTTGATTTTTTGTTTAGACAAACTTATGTCAGTGTGTGTGTATGTGTGTGTGTATACACACACACATAAATATAATTTCAGTTATCCATATCTATCTATCTATCTATCTATCTATCTATCTATCTATCTATCTATCTATCTATCTATCTATCTATCTATCTATCTATCTATCTAT